GTTCCCGCCGGGACCGCGACGTGGAGGCAGGCGACGCGGGCCTCGTTAGACTTTGTTCATCTGTTTTTAAACGCTCTCTGTGGGGAGGCCTCTGGCTGAGGGCATGCGGTTATACGGGGGAAGCGCTCTGCTGCTGCTGCTTCAACTCGTTTGCTGTTACACCTTGCGTTCTCTTGCCCTGCACCCTGGCCTACGCTGGACGTTCAGTTGGAGTAAAACGAAGGCAAAAGGAAGAAGAAAGTGGGCTTGGAGGCTTAGTGGCGGAAAGAAGCAATAAATTCCTTCATTATTGGGCAATGCTGATAAAAGGAGCACATTTGCTAGCTGAAATCTCACAAACAACAGGGAAGGAAAAAAACCCAAACTTGTTTATTCCTGCCCTGCCAGTTGGCAGATCTCTTTGTTTAGAGAGCTTTCAGCCTTGAGTGTTGCTTCTTGCAAGCAGGGTATTTACTTAACTTACTTCCCAGAAAGGGTGCAGTTGCGGTTGCAGCTATGGCTTTCCAATGTTTGTACGACCCTGTGAAGAGACTGTGGATGTCATGATAGCTATTAAAAAGAAAAGGGGGGGGGGGGGGGGGGAAAAAAAACAACCCTCGTTATCCTGTCGTGATCTTACATACAGCATTATTATTTTACCAAACCGCCAGGGTTGTTTTCTCACCAAAGGGTATATACTTAGTATGTCAGATGAGCCTTATTATAGCAGAGGGTGGATCTTCCGCCCACAATAGATTTCCTCAAAATATTCCTGCAGTGTGAGGTTTTCCTATCTCTAGCTGTGCTGTGTACATCCTTCACTGTTTTGATGGTGAATTGTTCCTGGAATGTCAGGGTTTGAGGATGTTGGGTTATAACTTCCCCTCCTCCCCCCCTTTTTTTTTTTTTTTTACTATTATTATTATATATGGGGAGTCTCTGCAAATGACCAGCTTTGCTGCAGTGCATCGCATCTGTTCTTATCTCTGAAACATGAATACCAAGCTGGCTGTGTTGTGATCTGTGAAGAACAGGAATAGGTGATGTGGTTGGGTACTGCAGCTCTTGCACTTTTTGCAATCCAATTTTTAGAAGGGACTAGGAACTTTAATGCCCTAACTGATGCATTTAAAAAAAACCAAAAAAACAAACACCTTCCCTACGCCTTTGGCCTCTGAAGATAAAAATTCAACTTTTTTTTTTTTAAGGTGTATCAATCCGAGTGGTAAGAGTAATTAGTCACTTTTAAAATTTCAGATAAGCGAGTATAAACCTTATCTGTATTTTACATGTGTGTATGTGCAGATACATGTCTGTGTTAGTCCCTGCTTACACTAGAAACTTTTTACGTAATTTTTTTAGTATAGGGAGGGTATGCAGCTGGTAGAGGTAGTTTGAAGTGTAATGTGTATTTTTACTTCCTCCACTAATGTCAAAGAAGAGTAACTGCCTTAACCAGATTGGAAATGGAGTGTGAAATTGTCATTTGAAGCCTTGCTGTCTTTTGGGACACAGCTCCTACTTGCATACATGATGTAGTAAGACTTGCAGCAGATTTTCTAGGGAGAAAAACCTAAACATTAAAACATTTGTGGCTTTAAAAATGTGCTATGTCTTCAAAATAAGTAAATTAAAAATATGGCTCACCAGGCCATTGGAAAATATTTAGCTGTGCCTGTACACTTGAATGGAAAGTGGCTATGTTGGTTTTCACTCTTGAGTGGAAAGTGCTGCTCTGTCCCCTTGGAATAAAGCTGCACAGGGATTTATCAGCAAAATGTTTGGAGGATGGGGTGTGGGATTCACTGGAGATGATTTAAAGAAACTAACCAAAAATCTAGTTAAGACCAGATTTTTTCTAAAGGGTCTGGGAGGTCTCAATATCTGCTGTAGGGATTGTTACACTTCAGGGTGCTTCAAGAAGTCTGGCCGCTAACATGAATGGGGGTTGAACTCCTCTGAATATCACCCTCGTGTGCACATGAATTGCTGGGAGTTTGAACTCTTCCTGCTTTAAATAGTGTCTTACCTGGAGGAAAAACCATCTTGCCAATTGAGTCTCATCCCCCTGCCTGTTACAGCAACTTCTTGTGTGGCATATGAATGCAAGGAAAGTAATTAAAGTATTTTTAGCATTTTAAATTAAACTGGCACTAGGAAAGATGACTGTAGTCTATGGGGAACAGACTGTTTGGGAACCCTTTTAGAAAGATACTCTAAATTAATATTTAGCTCGTGTTATACAATGTCATTGTAGTTCAAGTTGTGTAGCGGTGAAATTTCTTCATCTTAGAGGCAACATCTGCTTACACGAGCAGGGAGTGTGATCTTTGGATCTCCAGGTTTGCTGCTGTTGTGCTGCTTATATCTTCATAACAAGGTAATTCCTCAGGCTGAGAGAAATGGCAGTCCCAGACTTCTGCTGTTTCAAATGTCAGTTTTGAAATGATTCCCTGCCTTAGCGTTGCCACCTCCAGGGTGTTACTTATGCTGTTATTTTTTTGAGATGGAACACGAAGTTCACTATAAATATAGCAGTTGTGTCATTTAAAGCACATGCATGCACTTCAATTTTTCTGCCAGTGATCAGCACACGTGTGGATGAAATGAATTGAATTACGCTATAAAGCAGCAAGGGCTGATAGAGATAAATGGGATTGATAGCATGCTTTAAAGCACCTGAGCAGAGATGGCTTGTGGTAGGAAATTGCACCACTGATGAGGTACAACTGGAAATCCAATCCTCTCCCTCTTCCATGCAGCTCAGTCCTGCCTCAGCAGTCAGGACCGCACCTGACTGCGTGACCACAGCTGATGGGCAAGGATAACCGGGAAAGAGATGAGCACCTGTTGCTTAGGGCTTAGATTAGGAAAGGCTTTATTGCTAATACCTAGAGCTTGAATTAGCACCAGGCTTTGGAAGCAAACTGAATGCATGTGCTTCCTATCTGTGCAGAGTAGGAGAAGGAATCTTGTTTCCTTGAGGAATCTTAGGCGCTTCAAGGGTTACCTTTATGCTTTTTGATCCTGTGCTAAGACAGTAAATGCTGCTGCAAATTGCCTGAGTTTAAAACTTGGCACGGTGAGTCGTAAGACTTGATGCCTTGGATCTTTCATTTTCTTCTCTTCTTTCTTCTTCCCTTTACAAAAAAAGCTTTAATTGGTTTCTGGTTCAAGCAGAGGAATTCTCAATGTCTTCTTAGTATAGCATGTTTAACAAATAACCCAAACCTATTGAGATTAGGAGTGACAAGGGAGTGTTACTAAAATCTTTCACATGCTGCTTCTGGAATGAGAGCTGTTTCCCTCCCCTCAGCTTTTATGCATTAGCATCCTGTGGTCATTATCAGGTTCAGGCTGAGTAATTCCTTGGGTGTTTTATATTGCTATGTTGTTTTTTCCCTTGCCATGTTACCCTGCTCTCTGAAATCCCTGATTTTCGCTGAGTGCAGCACAAAAGATAACACCTGACTGCTGGCAAGCTGCGTCAACGTTATCTGTCCATTGGTCTTGGGGCCAAGCTCTTGTGTTACCCTGCTCTCTGAAATCCCTGATTTTTGCTGAGTGCAGCACAAAACACCTGACTGCTGGCAAGCTGTGTCAATGTTATCTGTCCATTGGTCTTGGGGCCAAGCTCTTGGTGTGCTGCTCCATGTGAACTGCTGCTTCTTGGGAAATTCTTGCTGCAGTTTAGGGATCTGTGTCTGTACATGCACGTATTTGCATTGCAAGAATGTGTTCAGTTGAGCAAAATGCTTCTTAATGTGGATCTATCAGAAATAATACAGTTCTGCATTGGTCAGTACACCAGAAATACCTATGTTGGTCTGTTCAGGACTAGTTTGACCACCTTTGAGATAATTTTTAAATTTCTTTAAGCAGTGATCCCAAACATGACACTGGAACTCTGGAAGTTCAGGTTTGGACATGTTAGTCTACAAAGACTTACAGTTGGTTTGGGGAGTGGGTTCATTTTGGTTCTCAATGCAGAGTGATTTTGCTGAAATAAAAGCTCAGATCTGCTGGGTTTCAGAACACTTCTACTGTCTTACAGATGGAGATGGCTGGGGCATAAAGGTGCTGACTCAGTACCTGGGCTGTCTTGATTCCTCTTTGTTTGTGTCATGGTGGAAATCCCTTTTTACTGGCAGTCCACAAGCCTGACAGGTCATGCAGGAAATGCCTTTTTTAGTTGTTTTCTACCTTCTGCTCTGAGCAGCTTATCTCTATAGGATCATTTGTTGAGTACTTGCTTCATTCACGTCTTCCCCGTTTCTCTTGCACAGGAGGGATACATGACTTGCTGAAAAGAGAGAAAATGCTATGCTGGGGATACTCGTCTTTTGGACAACCTGGGATAGGTAGCAACCTCCAGGTCATCATTCCTGAACCACAGGTATATGGATTCATTCATGACAGAAATGTCAAGGAGGTGGCATGTGGAGGAAACCACTCCGTGTTCCTGTTGGAGGATGGGGAAGTGTATACCTGTGGCTTGAACACCAAAGGCCAACTGGGGCATGACTGTGAAGGAAGCAAGCCAGGTAAGTCGGCTTTTTATATGTGCTTCAAACTTTCTTGAGGCTGGTGGCTGAGAAGATTATGGAAGCTGCTTTGTATTGGTTGCTCTGGAGCAGCTAACAGCTGAAGATCATGTGTAATAACACAGTCGTGATGCTGAATAATATTTGCTGGCTCTAGAAAGCTAAAGCTGAGCAGCATGGGTGGGGAGACAGGGTCTGATCAGTGTGTCTGGGAAATGCATCAAAACAGAGGCGAGCGCAGATGGTCTCAGGGCAGATTTTGTTGTTTCGCATTATGTTGCCTTTTTATAAAACTGGAGAGAGGGCCATGAGTCACAAGTGTCTTCTGCTTTGTCTTTCCGCTTGCACTGCATCTTTATTCCTACTCTTGTTCAGTTATTGTGGGGAATTTTGCCACTTACATCAAAGAGGAGAGATCTGTGTTGAGTATGGTTGTAGAGAACAAACTCTGTTTTGGCCAAGAGGGCATATAAATTTTGTTTTCCCCTCTTGGAAATCTCTTGTTGACTTGTGCCTTCATACTTTCTTAGTCTAGGAGGTGGTCATTGTAGCCTGGTGTTCCCCAGACTCAGACTGCATCTTATTCATTGTGTTCCAGTGGGCAGAACCTGTGTGTCCAGAACCACAGACAGCTAATGCCTGTCCTTCCCAGGGTGAAGGAGTGGTTTAATTGTGTATTGTTATTTTGAGAAACCCTGAAGCCTTTCTTACAGACTTTCTTTTGAATGTTGGTCTTCTAATTCACCTTTCATTAACTTCTTGGTTTTGGCATGTGGTGAAGGTACAGGTATTTATGTTTCCATAATATAATAAAATCCTTCTGTAGGTAATTAGAGCAATAAGACATAATCTTCCCTCAAACTGCAGGCTACCCTCTGTAGGGCTTGGGGCTTCTGTAGTGTACCCTAATATTGCACAATAGAGATGAGATGTACAAAATAGCCACAGCTCCCAATGTGGCATGTACAAACCTGACCTGACTGATTCCACTGCTCCTTTTTCCCATCACTTTGTCTCTCTCTCTCTCCCAAAATGAGGTGGTAGATGTTGGATGCTGGACGCCTGTGGTGCTGGATTAGAGGAGTTGACCGTGAATCCGGCCTCTCTTGCTTTTCTTACAAGTGTTTTCCTGACAATTACTAAAAGAGGTCAGGATTATCAGGAGCGCTTAAGTCCTCTCTATGCACAACCATTGTTCATCTTCCAAGGACTTGTAAATTTAGGCCCTGGAATGAATGAGATGCTTAGTAAAAGGAAGCCAAGCCTAGTGAATATTCCACCCAGCCTGATGAGGATACTTCATCCTGCAAATCACCTAGCTAGCTGTGTGACTCCAGTGCAGAGGCCTGAGAAATTCAGTACTGTTCCAAGTGCTGTAAAGATGCATACTCGGAGAAACATCTTTGGGCTAGCCTGCTGTTTATCCATAAAATAAAGCAAGCATAAGATGATAATTAAAATGGAGGCTTCAGGGTGAGTAGAAGATCAGAGCTGGAAATGGATCTCATGAATCCTGAATGCTGAAGTGTAGACTTCCAGCAACTAGGTAATCCTGCCTTCAGCTAGGGCTGTCGAAGAGGGGCAGTCTGAGATTTGGAAATAGAAATAAAAAGGTTTTTGGGTTTGATCCCAAGTGCCCTTCTTCTACCCCTTAAATTAAGGGACTGTGACTAAGATGTGACACCAACTCCCAGTTATCCTGCAGGTTTCATTCATTCTGAAACAGGTTCTGCAGTGCTGCTTTCTGAGGAGCCTGTGGCCATCCTTGAAAAACTGTGTTTCTCTACCGATGCAGCACTGATGGCTGGGGCAGGTGGGAGGGCATATGGGCTGTAAAGCAAAGAACAGTTTCCCTTTTTAGCTCATGGTGAACAGTCCTAGGAGTCTTTACCATAACAACAGTAAACTGGGGGAGAGACCCACCCGCTGCTTTCTGTGGGTCTGCTTTGGCTTGCAACAATGGGAACTGAATTTCTTAGCTCTCCTTTGCAAATAGGAGCAAGAAGAATCAAGCCCTTCTCTTTCATCCCCACCTCCCCTGCATGGGATAAAGACAACCTTATACCTTCTGTATAGAAAGGCATGTCAAAGATCATCTTTCTTATTCTCCATTAGTTGTGGACCTATGGATGAAGCCGTGTTGGATAGGAAGTGAAGATGTATGTGTGGGGCATAGGGTCCTCAGCTGATGAAGAGAGAAAAGACTGTCAGGAGGTGTCTGAGGTAGAGAATGGGAGAAGTGCCTGGAACTGGGAGCCTTGCAGCGGCATCTCTCCAGCCTCTGCCTTATGGCTTTTTTCTGCCCAGCCTGTGTGGGCAGCTGGAAGTGGCTGACCTCTGCCCAGCTCTGGAAGTGAGCCACAGCTCCTGCTGCGGGAGGCTGTGACACAGCACTGACTGTCCCCTCCAGGCAGCTCCTGAACTTCGGCCCCCTGCCAGCCCTCTGGACTTCAGTAATGTTTACCATGGCCTGCAGAGTGGCTTGGTTGTGCTTGAGAGTAACAGCAAAAGGTTCAAGATCCCCTGCATATTTTCATGCCTTGAAGGCTCAGTGACTTCAGAGAGGTGGAGTGATCTTCCTGCTGCCCAGGTCTGTGCTCATGAGGGGAAACTCACTTTTGTCTCTCTCTTTTTTTTTTGTGTGTGTATGTACATGAGGCTTATGCTGCCGGCATGCTGAAAGCTTCAATTAGTGTTTTTAGAATATATGATCACATTGTTTAACCAGAGATGGTTATTTCCCAGGATGATATCTGCTTGTGAATAAAATTCTGGGACTTTGCAGTGCACTGAACATGGGTCTAACTCTGTTCTCCTTGCTAAGCTTGCAGGTTTTACTAATGACTTCCAGTGGGACAAGAGTTGTTATACTTGCAGTGAGTGCTTTTGAAGACTTTGCCTCCCTTCCTTCCCTTACTATGTATTCCAAATAATTTTTTTTCTCTTGTTCTGCTGCCCGTTTACACATCTGTAGTAGGGGGGTTCAATTTTGCTTCTCATTCATGTTACTTGCAAAAATGTCAAACGGTGGCACAGAATTGTTTCAGCAGTTCCTCTCAGAGGGCACCTTTTGAAATGAAAGAAACTTGTTAATTAAAAAGCTGTGTTTACTGTCACATCAGCTGAGCTTGTGGATGTAATGCAGAGACAGGGTAGCAGCTGGCAAATTGATTCTTGTGCCTCTCCACTACAGGGAACAGAAATTATTGGGGGAGTGTGTGCCACTGAAAGAGTATGAGTCAACAGAGGTTTATTTTCTGGAAGTGCCCTTTCCTTGGATTTTACACTGTGGCAGTAAAATTAATATTTAAGATGTTTAAGAAGTTCATCCTAACTAAAAGTATGTTCCTTTGATTGCTTCCAACTCCTCACTTCTGAGCTAGGGTAATGCTGGGTGAGCCACTCCTGTGGGGTTCCCCCAATAGCCATCTCCCCACATTGTCATGCTATTTACTGTTTCATTCCTTCTTTGAATGTTGGTGGTCAGCAAGCTACTTGAGGAGTTCATCCCTCTTGGGGATGGATACCTGGCCTTGTTAATATTGAAATGACTCCCCTCTTCTTCCTCCCCACCCCCTGAAACAGTCTATAGCTTGTCTCTGCAATCACTTGGCAGGGATGCAGGGGGGGAGATGCTGTCCTAGTGTTCTCTCACCATGACCATAGTTAATAGAACAGGTCAGACAGAAGCTTTAACTTTTACTTGCGTTCTTATGTGCTTGGAGTCCCCAGAGTCACTGACAATGCCTTAGGAGAAGCAACCCAGCGATCTTAGTTGTGAAATATTGAGCCCACTGTTCTGTAAAATCAGTCTGAGTTTGCATTAATTTCCTGAGCATCATCAGGTGTTAACATGCATTATGTCTTTAATGGGAAGTGATAATTTTGTACTGCAATAGTTTCAGGAAACAAGAAATTTGTTCTCTATAACTGTATCTAAATTTCTGCTTCTTCAGTCCTGTAATTTCACTTGGAATGATTTTCTTCTGGTCTGACATGATGTCTTGACTCTCTGTGATGATTCTTAGTTAAGTGTGTTTTATCTGAATGTGCATGCATATGCTGGGGAACAAAAGACAGGCCCAAGTAACTTGGACTTGATGATCTTAAAGGTCTCTTCCAACCTAAATGATTCTATGATTCTAAGGTAAGGGTTCTTTTAGAATTTGGGCTGACTTAGAGGAGTATGAAATAACTAGCTGGTTGTTAGCCATTTGCAAAGCTTTAAAAACATCTTGAGTCTGAGATGTGGAACTTGTTTTCTGGTCTAGAGATTTGTTCTCTGCAAGTCATTTGGACTTAATTTGACTTATGCTACTGAGAAAACCTGTGCTTTGGTAATTAGTGTCTCAAGAGTTACAGAAAAATGTCTGGTACCAAATTTGCCTCGAGCCTTTTCTCTGGTAACACACAGCAGACAAAACCATGTTTTTTTTACCAAATTTCCTGTCGGGATGTAAATGTGCAGGGTAGCATTGCTTCTGTGTGCATTGTGGAATCCAGCTGCTCATAGCTGCAGGGCTAGAAATATCATCGTTGTGTTCAATCTCTTTCAAAAAGCAGGGAAAAAACCCCCACCAAAACAAAAAAACCCACTACATGATCCAGATCCCCTGCATTTCTCTGAACTCGGTGGCCTTTCTTTTCAAACATAAATCCACTTGTCCTGAACTTCAGCACAGGGTTACAGTGACCAGAGACCTTGGTGCTCACTGTGGCATGCCTGTCCATCGTAAACCCTGTAACAGCTGAGAATTCAGATGTGCAACCTGCTTGGAAGGACAGTCTGTATGGATCTTCCTCTTTTAGCCTCTTCCCGGTGTGTGAGAAGTCAGCCAGGAGGCCTTGGTTGTTCAGGAGGAGGAGGAGAGGTGCCAGGGCTTGTGTTTGTTGGAAGCAGCCGTGGAAGCGAGCAGGTTGCAGATGAGGAGGTATAGCTGATGCATTGAATAGGTAAGGTTGAGAGTCGCTCACAGGGTGGGATGATAGTGGCAGGAGAA